GTTACCTTTTGGCAATGCAGACAAGAGAATATCAGTTATTATATATTATCCAACTACACCTAGACGAGTACAAATAACGCCATAGACGAGTTCAAATATCACGCGGTATTTGTACTCGGCTATCGTAGTACCGGTTAAACAGGTTTTCTCGCATCGCGCAAGCGAAGAATTGGATTGTAGGTTGGAAAAAAAAAAGGGACAATTTGAATCCTATTTCCGACGACGAAGAGTCAGAATGGCTGGCAAATATAGGTCCAAGTTCATAAGATGAATCGAACGAAGAAAAACAGCTTGCCGACTAGAAAATTTCTTCATTTAATGAAGAAAATAGAAACAGCGACACAACAACGCGCCAATTCCGTTCCGCTTCGCATACTTCTGTCACGCACTCCCCGTAAATTAATATCCGCGAAATTCGCCCGCGCTGAAATAAGAGTTTGGCGTGTTGGATAATGAATAACTTACTGGACGTTTTGTTGTGTAGTATCGCTGAGTATTTTTACTCATTATTTGTATTTTGACTCGCCCTATGGGCTCGTCAAAATACGGCATAACTCGTAAAAATACTCAGCGATACTACAGAACAAAACGTCTAATAAGATTTATGTATTTGTACAAAATGAATCATGTTTCCGAAAACGAAGAGTCAGAAAAGCTGGAAAATATAGATCCAAGTTTATTAGATCGAAGAAAAACAGCTAGATGACCTGGAAATTTCTTTATTTATTGAAGAAAATAGAAACAACAACACGATAACGCACCAATTCTGTTCCGCTTCGCATACTTCTGTCACGCACTCCCCGTAAATAAATATCCGCGAAATTCGCCCGCACTAAAATAACAATTTGGCGTACGTGTTGGATAATAAATAACTTATTAGTCGTTCTGTTGTGTAGTATCGCTGAGTATTTCTGCTCGTTATTTTTATTTTGACTCGCCCTAGGGGCTCGTCAAAATACGGCACAACTCGTAAAAATACTCAGCGATACTACACAACAAAACGTCTGATAAGACATATATTCTCTTGATGGAAGCAGTCGTTTTTACCCCTCTCACTTTAACTCTTTCTTGACATATTCGTCCCATTTCGTCGTTGTGTTGTATCTTTCCAATCTAACACTGTGCTGTTACTCGTCCATGGAAAGTCTTCTTTCCAGGTGAGTTACCCTGGCCTGCTCAAATAATCGCGATTGTCCCCCCCCTACAGCCATCTTTTCTCTCTGCCGGTTTAATCGTCACTATTTGTTTTGTCCTATCTTTCCGATCTTACACTTAGTTTTTCCTCTTCCTTTAAAGTTAATTTTTATTGTTTTAGTACGCCTGAACACCTCAAGCCGTTGCAATTTAGCTCAGCTCCTTTATCGAGCAACGGTTTGGTACATCGAATATTTGCAGCCGCCGGGAATTGTTTAAATATTTGATTTCTATAACTGATTAAACCAACATTCGACTTTAAAACATCCCTTATATCACAAGAAGAACAAATGAATAGTAAATAAATAACAAAAATAAGCCGAGAAACAAGTAAGCAGAAATGTGATTCCAGTCTTTTGCTGTGCGGAGCTAATATAGGTCGGGGCAACAACCTACATGTTGGGAAATGTTGTGGTGGGATATTAGTTTGCATTGTGGTTGAACAACACACAGAATTTGGTTGAAAAACATATCTTTTACTCACGATCTGCAACTTCCATAATTCCTAACTAGTTCCGTGTTCCTTTTCACCATTAAATTGCCAACGAAAACATTTACCAATGCATCACGAGGCACAAATTGCTTAAAAAAAAAAAAGAGACGGCTTTAAGAGTCAGCTGCTTTTGATATCAAAGTTTGAAAACAAAATTGCGGCCCCGATCGGCCTCCTCAATATAACATTTACTGTACTTTTTTTTCATGTTATCCAATCTTTCTTGATTTTATTCGTGCAAGATAAATTATGTCTCGCCGAACAGGGGAAAGGTTTGTCACCTTTCCGGAATTAGACGTATTTTTCTTGTCTCTAACCATATTTGTTTGCGGCATATCTAAAGGAAGCGGCAGCGAAATATAATTACAACGGCGGAAATGAAGGACACGTTTCGAAGGAAAACCGGAATCAGAGATGTTTTAATTCGATACAACGTGAAAGGATCATTTACAATAAAAGTGGAAAGCAAGTTTTGACTGACATGGTGTCATGATGCCCCGGCTATTGCAATTGTCTGCTGCGTTTGTCCGTCAGTTAGGCGACCTTATCTCGAGATGAAGACTAGCTGAATGAACAGAAAATTCATTGAGTCGAGTAAGTCTGGTCAAGTACTATACCTCACAGGTAATTTTATTTACTTCATTAAAATCTCGCCGGATTAATTGTAAGTATACATGGGGTCGAGTGACTGAAATTGAGGGATTTAATTCCAGATTTGCCTTGAGTTCAAGAAGATGTCATCACACAGAATGTTTCAATTTTACCACGAACTCTTTCATTTCTTCGGTAATCTTTAAAAGCCCCTTCTCTCTCTCTCTCTCTCTCTCTCTCTCTCTCTCTCTCTCTCTCTTTTTCCAGGAGGCGTGCACTCCTTCAACTTCTAAATGAGACATGGCAACAATTCCGGAGTGCTCGCTCTCTCTCTCTCTCTCTCTCTCTTTGAAATATAGCTATTTCGCTAAAACACGCAATATGTTTTCAATCTTTTGTAATTTCTAATTATAAGCTACTTTTTCTTTTCACCGAGATCTTTTTTTACAACACAGATATGATATTTTCTTACTTTCTTTTTCCCTGTAAAAATTATTGTTTAAAGGTGCTATGTATAATAAATGCACTGAGCCCTTCAAATGACCACGTCGTCAGATATCAG